CACTGTATCCCCTTCTCATGGGCTGTGCAGGGAGAGTTCTGGCATCCCCTGGGACCAGGCCATCATGCTGCTTGGGATTCCTTAAAATCAAAGTTAGGCAGACTTAATTTAACCTTTTTTTTTTTTTTTTTTTTTTTACAAGATGTTCTGTTTTTTTAAATAACTTGGCCTACCCTTTTATCAACTCTTTATATGACTTCTCAACAATATAAAAAGTTAGCCATATCTATAAAGGCATAGTTTTTAATTTACTGTTGCATATTGATGTTATTGCTAACTCAAGTGGAAGCAAGGCTTTTTAGGAAGCAGTACATGCTCATTTATATAGTAAGCTTCCCACAATTACTCAGAAACCAAAAATGGAAACATAACAACCCTATCACATCGGAAAATTGGCAATACACACATCAGAAGCATTATAAGTTATGTACCAGTTTAACATATGGGCCAGTTTTATTCAGTTTTATAGAAGTTATTAATTGCATTATAGTTATTCATTGCATTTTACCATAGCTTTTTATCAGACACATTTACAGCTTCCTGTGATCTAACTCAGAACTAATGTTTTTCATTAGAGAAGAATTGTGAGATAGAGTGTCTTGTGGCAAAGGGGTATTTTTCTATTTTAGTTTTGGTTTTAAAAAAAAAAAATTCAAAGCCACGTTCAGCTCATTATTTTGTCAGGAAAAGGGTAATTTATAGTTCTAGGTGATAATTTGGAGGTAAACTATATAGACATACTGTCAGCAGGCCAAATCACGAACGCGAAAACCCACAAATCCTTCAGGCAAATTTAGCTGATGCTGTTCTACTTTTGGTATTCTTATAGCAAAGAAGGGCTGGTTTGGAGAGAAAGTTACATTTAGGATTGTTTATATCTGTCCACTCACTATCTCATGCCTGTTATCACACCGTTCATGGAGTGTCCTGTGGCAGAACTTGCATTTGAAAGCCTGCAGTTCACAGCAGCAAAGGGTTGGCACGCAGAGATAAGGGCTGAGGAGCATCCGCCTGCTCCCCCGAGCTGCTCTCTGCTGGTGCCATTAATGTGCAGGTGTATCAGGATGATTAGGTCTGACTGGCTAATTAGGAGGGAAAAAAACGCGAGGCTTGATTTGAAGTCTCTTCAAAGCCTTTTAAAATTTTCTCCTGAACAGCCATTTAGGCTAAAATGACAGCTAGTCTCGCACAATTTCTTTTCTCCTCTCAACAAGCAGGCATTTCCTAAATAACTCTTATTTTCTTAGTTTTCTCTGTAGCTCTTCACCACCTTCTTAAACTTCTGTGCACTACCTCTTTGCTTCCATTCTGCACAAAGAGTCTCATACCTGACACTGTGTTACATTGGGGAGGTTTTTTAAAGAGAAATATGAAGCTGCACCTTACAAGAGTTAAACCATTCACAGTCTTCGGCTGTCATATTCATTCTTATTTGTCAAGTTCCCTTTTTCTCCCTTCTCCATCAGAATAGAGGTAGTCAGCAAACATCTACTTGAACATTCTCTGCCTCTAAATCAGACTCATTCAAAATGAAATGCTTTGGGAAATGCATCTTCTGTTGGAACATGGCAAAAAAGTGCTATGAGAATGGACCTATGTATCTAATACTGACAGAACTTTCTAGGAAGTGTTTGAGCTGCATAATGAGTTCTGAGAGTTTCTAATGAATCATTATTTTTTATGTACCTCATTTGTCAAGAGAGTTTTGGGTTCCATGGACTACTGACTGCAATTCTTGTGCAGTCAACTTGATGAGGCCACTGAAAGTTTCTGTGGCAGGCCTGACATGAACACAGAGCCACAGAATCACTAAGGCTGGAAAAAAAATGCCAAGATCATTGAGTCCAACCTTTGACTGAAACCACCTTGTCATCTAGGCCATAGCACTGAGTGTCATGTCCAGTTGTTTCTGAACACCTCCAGGAATGATGACTCTTCAATGCCTGACAACCCTTTCCACGAAGAAATTCTTTCTGCTGTCCACCCCAAGCCTCTCCTGGCACAGCTTCAGGCTATGTCCTATGTCCTCTTGTACTCAGCCTCTCACAGCTATGGGGCAGCAGGTACCAGGGAACAGTCCTCAACATATCTTTTTCTTGGATTTTTCATCATACCATAGCATTTGTGACAAGAAGAGTTTCAGTGTTAACATAGCCTACAGGCTTCATGGTGTATTTATTGCATTTTCACTTGTAAAGCCTAAGGGTAGAAAAAAACAACCCTCTTCCAAAGAAATAAGTGAAAACTCAAGGGGACCATATATTTTGGAGAAAGTTAATGACAGAGAAACCCTACAATCATAACAAAGCCTAGGTCCAGTACAAGAATTTCAGAATTTATTTATTGCATTGTGTGGGCTGCTTTGGAGAAAAGTGAGATATGCTAACAGCTAAATCTGTTAGCAGATTTAACTCACAAAAGTAATTAGGCTGCTGTCTCTTTACCCACCCCGTCCACCACTTACACACACACTTATACACACAGTGAATCTCAACTGACTTTGATTTTTTAACAATTTACATTCTGATGTTGAGTCTTTGTAAAACAGTGCAGTTCCATGCAGAGAAATTCAAATCAGCCATATATCCACCACCTGCAACACATTTGCATTGGCACAAACTCCACTTGGATTTAGAAGTCCCACTTCTCACTGTGCTATATTTCACCCTAAGTTTCTGCTGCTCAGCATCTAGGTTGTTTCCTATGGATAGAGCCACCTAATTACTGGCACAGCCCCACAGACCAAAGCCCTCATACTGTAGTCCTAAAAAGAACTCTCAGAGGAGTCCCCCCTCAGCGGTCACTGTTGAGGCAGGACGGGAACAGAAGAACTCCAGGCTAGATGATGTGAACTCCAACTGATTTATTTCAAATACATCACTCTTTTTATGAAGAGCATCTAAATTCATTGGTCTTAAAGTAAAAACATCTCACTCCATTGCTGCGCAATGAATGATGCACGGTGGCAGAACTTACCTATAAACAATGTGAACATATCTATAAACAATGTAAGAGAGATAGATAATTATTTACATTCCTTTGCAATTCTTTCCCAGGCTCTAGCCTGGCAGAAACTCTCCTTTCTCTCTGACTGAACTGAGAATACCCATACCCCTCCTTTGATCATCTTGGTTGATCTGTTCAGCTTCTTCTAGCACATTCACGTGGTCTGACTGAGATACAACTTCATGCTTTGAAACATGATACAGGTCTGAAGTCACATCTGCCACAAGTCATCCAAGTTTTCTTGACCTGAATTTTGATTTCTCTTTCTCTCCCTCTCCCACAGACACCATAAGTATGACTTGGCTCCAGTTTCTGACAGATTATGTGCCTAAATACAGCCTGACCCCTTCTAGTGCATGCTATTCTCCAGTCAGCATGCTTTTAAGAAACTCTTCCCTATCAGATCAATTTGCCCTTTGTGTTTTATAAGGATAGTGGATGTCTGAAAACAAGGGGAAAATGGGGCTAGGTGAGCATTCCTATAGGTTATTTTGTGGTGTTTATATCCAAAATAAATCTGAGAACCTGAATCACAACAAAGCAAAAGAAATATTTTTGCTTCTTTACATTTAAAAACCCCATATTTATCTGGTAAAGACTCTTGGGATATTTTAATAAGAAACAAAGCTCCTATTAAAATGTAATAAGAATGATAATTCTCTTGCCTCAGAAGGAGATTATGTCTTCAGAAATATTTTTGCTGCATAAGATTGTTGGCTAGTTTTGAGTTTTGGCTAGTATTCGGGTCTCAGAGATGATATGTAAATAAACAGAGGAAAATAAAAAAACAAACTATACCAAAAGCCCTCAACATAGTTTTCTCTACCTTCCTCATCTGTTTGTCTTGTAGACTTCTGATGGCTGAAAAACCCTTGTGATGAGAAATGGAGAACATTGTTTTTCTGTACTCAAACAGATCAGACACCACTGAAGTCTGGAGAGCACCCAGGCTCTACTCCCACATCAGAATTTGATTTGCTCTGGAAATTAATTTAATGTTTAGCCATATGACAAGCAATAAAAGCCAGAATAGACCAAGCCAGAGCCTAATCCCAGAAGTGGTTGAACAATCCCAAATTCCGTTTTTAGAAGCAGTAAGAACTCAAAGTATCCTGCTAATTGCAGGTCTCTTTAGAGGTTTGTAAGTAAGCTGTCAGCTATCAAAGCCCTCATGGAGCTCTGGGGTCCTGTGTCTAGGCAGAGTTTGATATCAAAGGTGGATACAAATTTAATTACATACACTGCTGTACATGAAATAAAATAGACTTGTGGGTTTTTTAGTTAGTCAATACAGGCCAGTTGCAAATCCTGTATTCTTCCACTACTAGATGCTTCTTGAAGGAGCAATTCTCACCACACTAATATAATGATGACATTTGTGCTTCTTTTAAGGTAGTATCCAATTGTTCTACTACCCTGTTGAAGTTTCTGTCAAGACAAGCAGCTTCAGCAATGCTTCCACTGATGGCAACAGTGATTTGCTACCTCTGTGCATCTCCTTGCCTCCAGAAATTCCAGCATAATTTATTCTATGAGTATTCATAATAGACCGGAATATCCCTGTACAGACTTGAGAGTGCTTCAGCACCTGCCATGCTACCTTCCCCTGCAGGCATAATAGCATCAGGTTTGAAGCTTGATCAAAAAGGGTGAAGCAGACTAAGGAAGGAGGATGGATTTCTCCTACAGCAAAGAAAATTTAAGGAAAATTAAATTTATAAAACTAATTTTATAAAACCCTCTCAGTCTTAAGGTGGTTTCATTTGAGTTTCATAGGTATATCTGCAGTTTTCATCATCATATTGAGCAATGTTATGAAATAATGTTGTGCTTTGGGCAAAGAAGCACTCCTAGGTGCTTCATAACTTCTAGAGGCAAGGTGAGCATTAATAAAGGAGGTGTTTTTAGTGTAATCATATTGAGAAGATACCACATAGTAAGCAGAAAACTAAACAAAATGCTGAAGTCTGGAAAAGAAGAAGAAAGGAAGAAGATACAGTAATAAATAAATAATCACATTTAGTAACAAATGATAAAAAGAATGGTGAACAACCGTTTTTTCTTCCTTGAGACACGTTCTTCACCCTGAAAGACAAAATTAATGCCCAATTGTGAGTTATTATGCAGTAGAAATATACAAATCTAGGCTTTTCTACAAGGGATACATGCATTTCATGTAACAAGAGGCCTTGTTATTAATAAGATGTTAATAGAGCAGAAATATTGCATATTTCCTCAGGTTTTAGTACTGCTGGGGAGAATGGATACTAGATTATTCCAGTAAGAACAGTACAGCTGGGAAAGCTTATATTTTCAAGTGATATGAACTCTATTGGCTTACTATCCTATAGGAGGATAGGCATATATATTTGTGTATATGCATACATATACATGTAAATATTTTTTTTTTTCCAAGAGAGACTTAGGAAAACATCAGATTTGCCCTAAAGGCTAAAGTCAGTCAGTATTTAGAAAAAAGAAGTTTCCAACAAAAAGACAGTACTGTGTTGCCAATCTGGCCTCTGAAATGGGAGTGGACTGTAACTCACTGAGGTATTAAATAGTTGACAGTTTCCTTGATCAAAAGTTCAGGTTATATTATAAGCAAAGCAGTAGATTCACTAATTGCTGCCACTTATATTAATCACAGTTACACCAGATGATTTATGGATGACTGAAGCACTCAGGAAATTTAAAAGAAAAAAAAGTCTTGAAGAATAGACCACAATTTACAGTGAAAGGTACTATTTAAATTCAGTCAGAAAAACATTTTCATTGACAATGCGTAGCCCACATCATTCCTCCTCTCCCCCTGCAAAACAGTTCTTTTAATTCCTAACTTACTGTTTATAATCTTTCCTTATGACTGTGATGCTTTGCCTCTGAACTGGATAGCTGACATCCACTCTCAAGTTTTTAATTTCCAGTAAGGTTTCTCAGCTGCATTATTCATGTCAGAAGCAGGATAAACTCTACCTCTGTTGTCCTTTCCCTCATCTACATGTCCTGTGCATGTGTTGAGTAATAGCTGCCCCAGTAGCTGCAGGGGAAGTAACACTCCAAAGCTCAAGACTTCCAAAATGATACTTTAAGTTTCAGAATTATCAGTGCCATATGACCCACAGCTGGTGTGACAATCCATCTAGATCATACAGTTTTAGATGAATCTTCTATGAACTGAAGGAGGGGTCATTTCCCCACTCAGATCATGCTCTGTCATGCCCAGTGGAAGGAGGGCAGCTGTACCTTTGGGTGCTGCCCTTCGGAAATGCCAAAGAAAGCCAGAGCAAAAGAACACAGGGAAATAGACTGCAGTGAGGATCAGTAGCTTGGCACTGTGGCCTTCTTGACAAGAGTTATAATTTATCTGTAGTGATGCCCCTGGCACAAGGTGAACTTTTCACTCATGTGAAAGCTCTAAGCATGAGCTTTTTTCCAGTGTATCTTCAGTTCTCCCTATTGTTTTGTTCCCTTGGCAGCATATTTATTCTTTCTCATGTTCACAGAGAGTGTATCTTCAATTCCAGGGGCATGTATTAATATTTCAAAACTCTTTCAAAAATAATACTGATTTAAAAATTGATTAAGCTTTTCTAATGTTGGAAAGAGTTCAGTTCAAGGGGTTTTCATGCTTCAGTGGTTTCTTCTTTCCCCTATTTTTTTTTTCATTTTGATGAAATTGTAGCGGCTTGCTATAAATAAGGGATTTTTTCAATGATAGTTCTAAATTTGAGTCATGTTTCAGACTACTTCAGCTGCACTAGCACTCTGGTTTCTAGATGTGGTAAAGGGAACATGGAAAGCATGGCAGAATTGACTTCTGGAAATATTATTGTTCTGCACACATAAAATTGAGGGAGAATGTGCCCATTATTTCAGGTGAAAGATACAGATCTGCTTACAGATTGTAACCCAGTTCTGTCATGAAGCATGAGTACCTAAGCACCTCCAAGCCCCCACAAACAGCAGAGCTGGTTTTGGTCTGAAAACAGCCAAGGAAAGGTTACCAAAGACAGATTTGAGTTCAGTGGTTCTGTCCTTATACATAATTTGAATGCAACCCTTTTACATATACACAGCGGGAAGAGCAGCAGCTGTTGCTGGATTTGAGGGTATCCACAAAGTTAAAGCAGAACATCTTCCAAATGAAAAAGCGCCATTAAAAAATTGAAAAAGTACACTAAAAGACCTGTATGTGCATATTTGGAGCTTATTTGGAGAATTTACATATAATTTGATTGATTAAAGACCCTGCTACATCTGAAATTAAGCTTTCTATATTGTGTGTGTAATTAATGGTTGCTTGAACTGTAATGTTGTGCCCTCCAAAAAATAATTCCAAGGATAAAACCAGGACAGTGGAATTCCACCAGGTCCAGAGAATAGCTCTATATGCACGTACAAACTTCTTGGATAGATTGTTAATTCTTAGTAAGATAATAGAAATAATACATATTCTGTAACTTTTTTAAATATACAGATTTTAGAAGCCAGTTTTTGTTAGAAAAAAATCTGCAAATACTTGCTACTGCAAATGGAATGTATTTATACACACATTCTTTGTATAGAGAATATAAAGTACAGAATGTTTTGGAGTAGCTGCCTTAATGCTATATTCTTATTTCTTCAGCTTTTTTACCAGATTCAAGGAGATATGTGTTTGAAGATAATTGAAAATGGGAAACACAAAGACGTTGTCATCCGAGAAGGGGAGGTAAAACAGGATTGGTTTTCTGTTATAGTTGTACATTAGTATATTACATGAATGTTTTATGTGTTATTTAGAAACAAATTTATCCCTGCTGTGCAAGAGATGGAATCAGGATTTATTAAAAAAAAAAAATCAAAAGCTTGAATGGAGTATAGAAAATTTTAAGTAAATAATAGGAAACTACAATAAACTGTGTTCAACATTTGACTGTTTCAATAACAGATAAAAATCCCTCTGAACATCTGGGATATCTATTCAAATACCCCATTCTCTCAGTCAAGAACATGGGATGTGCTATGTGAATTCAGTTGGATCAGTCTTTTATTTACACCTTGCCAGGTACACACTGCTCACCCACCCACCCACACCATTAAACAAACTGCCTAAACTGAGGAATTTAAGTGATTCATACATTTTCAGCCTTCTTTTGTCCTCACAGCTCGCCTTTCCAGCCATCACAGTAGAACAGCTTTAAAAGAGCCATTTACAAATAAAATCTATCCAATTTTTCCTTAGAGTAGTACTTTTGCTAAAGCACAGATTGCAGTGCTTTTACCAAGAGCATGAATAGACACTGGCTGTTACTACAAGTTAGATGTACTAGAACTGCCACTCATGGTTATTGACACAGCTTGGACTACACTCTAGTCTTTGAAAGGATTATTAGGTCTGGTGGAGACAACCTTTAAAATGGAAAGCATGTTAAACCCAATAGCTTAATGCCATTAAAAGCATTACGACTTTTTCAGTGACAAAACAGATCCACGTTTTCCAGCTATGAGTCTTCTGGTATTACACTTCACTGCAGGAGCACACCCAGCTGAGATCTCAGCATGTAAGAGAAGCACTAATGAAAAGGAGCACACCACACTTGGTGGAAAGACTGACACTAATACTGCTGAGGCACTGTCATTAGCTCTATTTTGTAGACAGAGGAACTCTATGGACTGCCCAGCCTTAGCAAAAACATCTGCACTGGAGAAGAATACAGGCTTACCAGCTAGCTGCTAGGAAAGGGTTTATTCTCAAGCTTCAAAAATAGACTTCTCTTAACCACATGTTGCCTATTCACTTTGTCACTTGCATGAGAAAATAGCCCCTCATATTTGTTATTTATTTCTGGAGAGAATAGCACTCCTCATCATGCAATCAAAGGTGCTCAAAGTGTTGGGAGGATACATGTGGCTGATTAGTTTAGACATTTTATTGAGCAGATAAAAAAAATCTGCTTTTTTAATTCCCTTTCAATTACTCAGAAATTGCAGTAAGTTTATAAATTTCAGATGAGAAATTGATTGGATTTTCATTTCAATTGTGCCTGGAAATGGTGATCAGACCAGGAGAGAACTTGCCTGCCATCAAGGCAGTGCTGATTGCAGTCACTGTGTCATCATTCACAGAGAAAACAAGAAACAGTGTTTGCAGGGCTGTGGGTACCAGAGTGGGTGCAGCTGCAAAGGAGAAACATGGGATCAACAAAAAGTTGGGGAGAAGTGGGGAAAGGAGCAGAAGTCTTTTCAGGTTAAGGGGCAGGAAAAGGACAATTCAAAAAACAAAGACTTCCTGACACTGATACCTTCTGATTTCATTTAACAGATGTTCCTGCTACCTGCCAGGATACCTCATTCTCCTCAGAGATACGAAAACACTGTGGGTCTTGTGATGGAGAGGAAAAGATTAAAAACAGAAATTGATGGGCTCAGGTGAAGTACAAACTATTGACTAATCTGTTAGAATTCTTAATAGAAACTAATTTTTTATATCAATACAACGCTGTGTTTTCATTTTCTGGTAATTTATCAGATTCATCCTGGCAATTTTGTATTAATTCTATCCACATATCTATTTATCTATACATGCATAAACAGAGATCTCATTTAGCATTTACTTTAGTTAAACAAGGACCATATTGAAATTTCTGAAATACATGTTGTGGTTATAGCAGTCTACTTATGTACTATGTACTGCTATTGCCTTAGGTTTTAAAAAAGATCTCAGAGCTCTCTAACAACTCAAAAAAGATTTTTTTATCAGTTCTGGCAAGCAGAATATTTATTCCTTTGTAAGCACCGAAAGCAAAAAGGTGAAGAAGAGCTTTCTTGTGAAGTGTGTGGGAAGCTAGAAACAAAAGTCATTTTTCTCACCACTAGTCCCTCTACATTGTACACATCTCTGCCTAGGTTTTATCTTCATGTAAGCGAGTGGTTTGCTTTGTCTTCTAGAGGGAGCAGGACTCAGTTTTGTCTTGTGTCCATACAGAACTCACAAGTCTAAGAGAGAAAGTCACAACAGTTTAACCTTAAGCAATCTAGAAAACTGTCTTGGTATTAACCAGAGATGTCAGACCAAGCAGAATTTATAGCTGTCCATATAA